GAAGTGTCAGTGAATGAGTATCTTCAGTTTTAGAAGGCAGAAACGCCTATTAATCACGCAGGAATAAAATACGTGCGGACTCTTTTCTGTACTTGCGAGGACCAATGAAATTATTGTATGTTTGAAAATTTTGGCGGTCTTTTTAAAGTTTCGCTAAAAAAACAATTTTCAGTTCATTTAAATATGTTGTGCATGATAATTTCACAAGACGTAAAATATTTCTAGTTTAGAACACGCGATAGCGCAATTATCGTTTCACAAACAAGGGACTACGTTTTCTATTTGCCTTCCTCCACGGGGGGTGAATTTCCCGTTCCCCAGGGATGCGCGGAAGCGCACGTATCTCCGCGCGTAGCAGGCCGGTCGTGCCGGTCGCGGGCCGGCCGGCTCCTTCTATCCGCAAACGTGGCGTCGGTGGTGATCGTCGGAATGGTGAAAGCTCATCGTTCCGCGTAAAAGCGCTATCCTTGACTGTGAATTTTCGTCGTGTTTCGCTATGATAACCCAGCACGTACTAGAAGGGAACATCCACCTACTCGTGCGGCGATGTCGTGGCGGCACTCTCAAGATAGCAGAAACGCCCGTGCCGTCGTGTTTGTTTACTTCGACTACAGTGGTGCTTTCTAAGCATTTGTGTCCTCGAACATCGCCCGGATTTCTGATTTGGCGCATTTCATGCGTGTGCTCAAGTTCAAGGTATTACTGGCGCGTACCGTATAAAGAATACGAATTTTCACGCGTTTTCATCACCGGAGAAAAGTGATTAGTGTTAGCAATCCTGAACGCTCGCAACGTCTATCTGATCACGAAATCATATTTCTACGTTGCTATATCGCTGCTAAGATTACATTGTCTTTTATAATCGTAGAAAAGGCGTGTGGCGATATTTGTACTATTGCAATGTCGTGTATTAGAGTCGTGATCGTCCAAGACGGCGCTGCATCTTTTTATTTTATTTTTTTCATTCGCTGTACCCTGCAAGCCTATCAAGAAAAAATAATAAAGCTTTAGACTAGAAAACTGTCTGTCTATATTCTGTTACGGCATTGAGTAGCAGTGTGTCCCCTTTTTTTAGAGGGGCCGCTGACACAGCTGACGGCGGCGTACAGAAGCGGTCGCCGTGCTGACGACCCGCTGCGGTTGTTGTAGTGGTTACAGGCGTGTGTACGCGCGGCGCAGTGCGGTCGTTCCGGTTGCAACGGACGCAGTCGTAGGTACGCGCTCGTTGCACATGTCTGAACCAGCCTTCCCCCCGTTCTCCCGAGGCGAGAGTCAACGTGGCGACATCGTTTGACATCACGCACCAGAGGTAACGCTGCGATGTCAAACGTTGGTTTGGTTACGACTTGCCCCAACCGCAAATCGAAGAACGCCCGAAAAGGTCTGCGTTTCGTCGTCCTCGGAACCCGAACATGACTTCGAAGCGCTGCTATCGTCCACATCGCACGTCGGGGTGGCGTCATAGGAAATCATCCCCAGGTCGGCTGTCCGCCGAAGAACTTCAACCTCTAACGGCGTCAGGTCCGCGTAGAGAACTCCGCCATGATCGAAGCTCGAATGACAAAGAGGTTCGGCCGATGCGGCTACCTCGGGATCACTGCGCGACGGAACGTCGTCCAACGCCATTGGCCCGAGATCCTTTTGATAAGCGTGCGACGACCAATGAGGGTGGTTTCGTTTTCGAATGGATCCGAGGTTTGGCGGCCTTCAATTACACTTTTATTAAAGAAATAATCACCGTATGACTATACTTTTTGGTTTTTAGGGATACTTAAGGCGTCTAAATTCAGCTGTCATTATCAAAACACGAACTCAAAAACCACTTGACTGCCCCTTTAATGATAGAGCACGGGAGCATAATCTTTCCGAGCGTAACAATGAGATGGGGGGGTGCATTTTGCAGACCACTGTAGAAGATACGCTGGCTGTAAACCTGTTTTGGTGGAACAAAGATTTTTTTTTTTTTAGAGCGCAACTCTTAGGGGCCCGTTTCCAGCTTGAGCGGCGTCGCCGTTGGCGTAACCGCGAGGTCGCGTGGCCCCTTCCCCCAAGGTCACGTGACCCCCCCCAAGGTCAGGTGACCCCCAAGGTCACGTTACCCCCCCCCCCCCACATCACGTTAACCCCCGAGGTCAAGTCACCCCTCCCTCAGGGTCACGTGACTCCCCCCCCCCCCCCCCCCCCCCCCCCCCCCGAGGTCGTGTGAACCCCCCCCCCCCCCTGAGGTAACGTGACCCTCCCTCCCCCGGAGTATATTGAAGAATGAGGGGAGGAGGAGAAGGAGGAAGGGTATATCCTCCCCTCAATACCCTTCCCTCCTCCTCCTCCCTCAGTACCCTTCCCTACTCCTCCTCAAGAGCTGCGCTCTAATTCGGCGTTACAGGCAGTTCTTAACAGCTTTGACTTTTTTTTTAAGCACAAGATAAGACCGAGAGAGAAATATAGAGCGGTTTTATATAGAAAATACAGATGGACAAATGAGGTAGCGCGCCTTCTCTTTATTTGCTTCAGAGAGAATTGTGACTTTTCTGGGTGGCGCTACTTGTAAGAGTGGTGATTGGTTGTGATGCAAGTCGGGCAAATGAGTATGTGTTACTGTGCATACAAGTGACGATGGTTTCTAATAAAATCAGTTGAGAGATAGCACCTGTCCTGTCGCCTTTGTGTTTTTATCGTCCTTGCTTTGTTCGCGTTTTAACCTTTTAATTGAGCTTCACGTATTTGCTGATGTGTTTTTTTTTCCGATGCGCAAAAAGAAAACCACTCATTGGTGGCTTTGAAAGCAAATATCCAACTCTAAAACACACAACATGCCCACATATGTTCTCTTCTAGAAGACAGCCATATACCCATATATATATATATATATATATATATATATATATATATATATTACGCATTTGCATAATTATCAATATTTCTGTTTTGGCGTGTTTTGTCTTGATGTCTGCCGGACTACAGTGTGAACCTGTGTGTAGTGCTTCTTTCTAATCTTACAAGTTTTTTTTTTTCTTTCTCTGTGTGTTTATGTGCGTTTCTTGCTCGCTGAACACCATGTGGGAAGGAGCCAAGACCATATATGTCCGGATCCTACACCTTTTGCCTTTGACTCCCTCTGTGAAATAAATCCGCCCAAAACAAATGAAATAGAATCAAACTACGCTTCCTGACATCCTTGAACAATTTTAGCAATACATGCTTTGTGGTGTTACTTGTTCCACCATGTTGCATGGCTCTTCCTGTGGCAAATCCGCCTCACTGGCATGCTCAGATCGAGTTGGCGCACTGCATGCATACCATGGGCGTACCAACCCGGGGGGGGGGGGGGAGGGGGAGGGGGGCAAGGGGTTCACTTGCTTCCCACTTCTCAGAGTGGGGGGGCAAGGCATGTGTTTTGCCCCCCCGAAACATCCGCCACTGCGCAGGGCAAACGCTGGCCGGCGGCGCCCAAAGGATACCAAGGGCACCGCCCTTCAATCCTGGGGGGGGGGGGGGGGGGGGGGGGGGGGGGGGTTCTGGTATACCTTCCCCCCCCCCCCCCCCCCTCAAAAACAAGTTGGTACGCCACTGGTACATACGACAGGTAACTGACGAGGCCGATGTAAGCTCCTCGGTCGCTGACCCCGACAAGAAAGCTTCGTTGCTCCAGGGCCCAATGAGTCTCCGTGGCGTGCCGTTCCAGGACGAACGAGGAGACCCGCTTGCGCAGTTCGACCGCCTTGGACAGCTCTTCTCGCTTCAGGGGCCGGATCAGGTAGGGCCGCGATGGTACGGCCGGTGGGCTCCACAAGAGCCGACCGCCTAGCATCTTTACTGGTCTACAGGCTCCAGCTAACGGGGCACCATTTCCGACGTGTAACTCTGGAGCAGAAGAGGACGAAGATAGCACGTTTTCTGCACGGAGGCAGGGGCGGATTTAGAGGGGGGGTCCGGCTCTTGATTTCTGCACGTGTAACTTTTAGGACGTGAAACGAGGGAGAGGGGGTTCCTAAACAAACGGTATGCTGACCAACACCTGACCCTCCCCCCCCCCCCCCCTCAGGAAATTCCTGCATCCGCCCCTGCACGGAGGTATGGAGATTGGCAAACGTATGTTATATGTAGTTATATGGATGTTTAGAACGGTGTGAAGTAGAGTACGACTGCGAACCACCGCGCAGAAAACAAAGTCGAAGTTCCATTATATGTACGTAGGTTTAGACAGCGAAAAAAACCACACCTCTCCTGGCTTCCCCCCTTCCCTTTACTACAAAACAAACATCAGAAGTAAAAAAAACCAAGAAAAACAACATAATGTGCACCTTGTTCATCTTGACCACTATTGACGTAACGTTTGAAAATACATGTTTTCATTTTTTTAACGCAACCATTTTTTTTATTAGCGTTTCCACTAGCTATATATAATGTTCCTGTGAAACATTCCAGTGTGCCTTATTTATTGATATTCTACTAAGTTATTGGACAGGAATTAGTTGATGAAAACCGGCAGCGGTGAAGCGGCGAACAGTTGTCGGCAATGAACGTGCTCATTTTTGGCGAAATGAAAACACTTATGGATTTACGTGCCCAACCATCTAACCATCAAAAGGCATTTGACATAACTTAGTGAAGCATTCAATATTCACTTATACGGCACAACCCTCCTTAATTGTAACTGAAGTCTCAGTTAAGCGGTGTTTTCCCTCAATTGGTATGTATTAAAAGTTTATTATATTCCATCCTCACATTGCGGGCATACAGCCGGTGTTCAAATCTGTCAACTGGGATTTGTACGCATGTACATTTATCATATTACTTGTATATATATATATGAAAAAGTACCGTTGATAAACAGCAGAGACGGTGCATCACCTCTATTTTGTGGTGCCCTTTGTAAGGTTCGGCTAACTCTGCATAAAAACTCAACACTCTTTCCAAGGAAGCACTATATTTCAGTTTCGGTTTCAGTTTCGGTTTCATAGAACCGGTCTGGCAACATACAACGACGGATGCCCCGCCCTCTTCCGACGATGGCGTTCCCCTTTCTCGCTTTTCGCGTCTCGGCCTCTCTTTCCTCCGGTACACATGTGTTCCCCTTCGCTGCGTTGCGATTTGTATTCAGTGTACGGCAGCCAAACCACTGACGTGGATGCTTTCTCGCCTGTCTTCACTGCTACCAGAGACTCTTTGAGACACACTGCCTTTCCAAGCCTGGTCAACTGAAAGCCACCGTCGCTGTAGCTCGAGATGTGCGGTGAGAGACCTTCTACCAGTCTGTTTACAGACACCACTTCCACATTGCCACGAAATACTTCACGTAGCGCGTTTTGACCGGCATACACCAACGGTAGATTCGAGAAAGCGGTTGAAAAGGCATAAAATCTCTTTATATGTGCGGGACATTAGCTTTTGCATAAGCGCAACAAGCGTAAACATTGTCCTCCAATCTTTTTACCGTTACTTCGTCAATATTTTTGTGGTGGTGCAGACGTGGGATACGGACCCTCAGGAATCGGCGACATTGACATTCGCGGAAACGCAGCCGCGTGTGTATACACATTGCACACGTGTCGGTTGTTACAACAGCCGCCCTATATTTTTCGGGGTTCCCTTGCGCAAGCGTATTGATACATCCAGGTCAAATGAGCAATTATTTGTATGGCGATTTTTGAATGTCCTGAGCGTGCTGTTTACTTTACGGCTGACGGATCTAATTTATTGATCCACGGATTATATCATTTTCTCTTTTGTTCGTGTTATTTTTATCCTCTTTAGAATCTATTTTCGGTTGCATCGAAATTCTTTTCTAATATCGTCCTTGCAGATTGCATCGCATTGGCATTCCGGGCGTGGTGTGCTTCTTTCAAACCTACCGAATTCCGAGATCTATCTAAGCGATAGCACTTTTATTAGTTTCATGGCATTCGCCCCGTTTCTCTTTCTTGCGTTTTGAATTTAGAGCTCTGTCTGCATTTCTAGACCTCACGGCCACGACATCGCTGGAATGTGGAAGTTTCTTACTTCGAACTTTGTTTACGAGTGGCTGAGCGATATGGGAACAGTTTCAGCCATATTAAATAACGCACGGTTTGCTGCGATAAAATAAAGCTTCTTCGCGTATTAGCTGTTCATATATGTGTAATGGTCGATTCTATATCTCTTTTTACGGCCAAGTGTTCAGTTTTATTTTTTATTTTTTATTATTTTAGTAGTGTAAAATGATTGCCATGAATTTATATTTTTCCCTTGCTCTCTCCCTTTGAACCTGCGTAGAGAAAAAACACTTTCGAGAAACATCTCGTAAGAATAAATATTTTTCAAAACTGGTTATCAACCTGCCATCTTCACAGCTCCATTGTTTTCTAATCATCTTTTTTTTTTTTTTTTTCAAGGCTTCTTGATTTGATTTTAGGGCTTCGTTTCTTCTTTAGAGTGTAGATTTATGTTGCCGACTCAATGACCAAGAGTCTATCTTTGTCTGTTATCTCGTTTAACTCGAAGAGGCGTTGCCTGTGCGAAAACTCCGTAGGCGCGCCGCGGGAGGCAGAGACGATGCTGTGCAACTTTCGTGGGATTTCCTGCTTTCTACACTTCCATCCAGCCAGTCAGCCCGACCCACCGTATGCAGTGCTTTGAACCCTGTTCGCCGACATTGTTTTCAAGTTAAACCTGTCTTGCGGAAGTCGCCGGACAACCCTTGACATGCCCCAGTTAAACCCACGCACGGTCTTTCGCTTTCCGTGTTCCGGTTGTTGTAAAGCGTCTGGGAGGGGTACGCACACTGAAGTAATGACCGATGATGGTAAACGACGAACAGACTTTTACGTGCCCCCAGATATTCCTCGTTAGGATTACCACGATTTCTGTTTCTTGCTCTGTGCGTCGTACTTTCAAGGTAGAGCGAAAAGGCGATGTCACTTCACACTTTTCTGTGATGAATAATAATAATAGTAAAATTAATAATAATTGTATTTTGACTCCTTGAACCTTGTGTGTGTTGGGGGAGGCAACAAAAAGGTAAATATATTTTACTTGACGAGGCTTCGCTACTTTTGTACATCGCTCAGCCAACAAAACAAAAAAAAAATTAAAAGAAAAATCATAAGTGTAAGAACAAACGCGTAAAAAATTATTTAATCGATCAACATAACGCAGTTACGGAGAACAACAACAACAGACGTACACATAAAAAAGTACAAGTGTTACCCCGAAAGCCACAGTTACGTGAAGCGAAGCTCAAATGTGCAAGTCCCTCATCAGGAAGACATTTTTTTTTTTTTTTTTTCAATTAACTACTTTTGGCGAAGCAACGAAATAACAAAATTATATCTAAAGAAATTATGTCTAAAGACTACACCCACTTGAATCGCGACATTGATCAATCGGTTCAGCGACGGGAAAGTTTAATCCTCTCCATTATTTTAAGAATATAGTGCCTTCACCCCAAGTTTCTTCCCTCTCTTGTGTACTAGTTTTGTCAAAAAGAACGGTCCGGAAACTGCCTGCTCCGATTCGTTGTGTAATTTGACAAATATTAGCTGGTTTCTGCGATCTTGGAAGTTTGCTCTTCTAGATCGCTGCGGTAAATAAATTGAAGCTTCTTTCTAGTGTTTCGCAGCTATTTTGCAAGATATCCTTAAAATATAATTTCGTTCGCCACATTGTTCTGCTCTTTTTCTGGTGCATCTGATGATGTGAATAGTTTATAATCAGCTGCATGCACTCATTGCGAATTTGAATGGACCGCACTAGCATTTTCTACCTAAAATAGAGTCCACAGTTGGTCATTGAACGTGTAACACTGAATTGCCCCCGTCGAATGGCCTTGTTGCCCCAGTTCTTGCGGATCTCGTGGCGTTGATAACACAGGTCAAGTCTATAAAGCTTCCAACGCGGCATCTATAATTATTCCGTATCTTGAAGGTTCCCCCTCTGTTGCCCTTGTTTTGCAATCATCGGGTCGGGAATGTGCTGGTCTGATGCCTTTACAGACAGGTGGGCAAGTGTCACCTGAGTTTAGCCACTAAACTATACGGTGCAGTGTATTGTGATACTGGAGCAAAACGAACAAAAATCGTATGGTAGAATTACTTGTCAACGGTGCGTTACATTTTGATAGCTTCAAAATTTCATAATTAATGATCACCAGCGCCTTGTTGTAATCGCTTTAAAAAAAGAAGGAACTCGCAAGAGTTAAATGAGGGATGTCTGAAGTTTATTATCGATTTTTTAAATAATTGTTTTGCTAGCGATTTTAAACTGAAGTAATTGTTATGACTCAACACAGATCTTCACTATAATTTAACTTCATCACATCGATATAATGCTTTCCCGACCTCAAGGAAACGCATTGCAGAAAGAACTTCACATCTCGCGATAACGACGCCTGTAATCCGGGATAAGCGACGAGATTACAAGTTCCATCCTCCTTTTCTTAGAGGGCAGGAAACGGCGAGAGTGGCCGGCGCGTCTGGTAACCCATTCCCCGTCAACGTCGTCCGCTGTGGCCGGATTGCGCTGGCTGTGCTCCCGTTTCCGCCAAGAGCACAGGCAAAGCACGCATCTTATCGATCCAAGGTGATCTGGCCCAGTCTGCAGTGGCCAAGGTCGGACGGAAATTCGTTCCGTTTGCAGGTCACATTCGTCGTGCCCGCTGAACCTCTGAAACTAGTCGACAGCCGTGTTCGACAGGTCTTGAGGAGGCCGACACTTGTCCTGGTGTGTGCGGTTAGACCCCTTCTTGAGACCGGCTCTGGTAGCGGTGGCTGCCTCCAGCGCTAAGGGTCGGGTTTTACTTTCTGCTGACGGAGGTCTTGGCAAGTTCAGATATTGCTTGTCGGCTGGACGGGCAACTACTGTGGCCGTCGGAATTCACTTTCGAGGCAGTAGAACGGCCTGGGCGTCCAGCAGTATTGGCGACTCAGTGCGCAACCAAAAGCGTCGCTGTAGTCGACCATGGCCTCCGAGATTTTTGGCGCCAAGAATCTCGGAGACTATGGGTCGGCACTCACGATTGACCAAACGTTCACTGTGACGTTTTCTAGGTGAATTATTTTACTTTAATTGACGGAGTTAAGAGTAATGCCAGACTGTCAACTTTGACGGTGTTGCATTAAGAATGCAATGACTCCAAGCTTCCACTCTGCTTTGTTACACACCATTGAACTTGTAGTTTGCGATTGATAATGATAAGTAGCCGGGATTACAGCTCGTGACGTCACGGCGAGGGAAATCCTGGTCATGACGTTGCGGATGGAAGCCATAAGTGGGCGCCACCGAAACATCTCGGCCTTAATACCTGGTGTTATCACGCGGAAGAACTGTGGCGTCTTTGAATGGACCGCATGCTGTGTGCGATGGAATATTCGCAGAAATCGCACAAAAATTGGTCCCACGAGCAAACCAGGCCAATTGCAAACATTTCGGAGACGTTGGTGAGACGTCGGTATAAACGCACAGACTGCACGTAAGGTGATAATGGTTAGGTTAAATCCATAATTTGATTTCGAATAAAATATTGATCACAAATGTGCGCTTACCTGTGCAGCTTTGTTAGTCGCTTTCGCCGATAATTCATCCTAAAGTGTGGCCGCATCGTATTGAAAGTATTGACGTATTTTGGTCCTATATGTCCGCCTCAGTCTTATTGCGGAGAAGGCACCGTGTAACTGAGAATTCGGTTGCACGTCAAAAGATCCCCAGTTGGTCGAAATTAATTATCGATCCTCCGCTGGAGCGTGCCAGATGCCCGTCGTTGGTTTGGCACCTAAAACACCCAAACTTGATTCAGTATCCGCCTCAGTGCACGAGACACCTTTAGCTGCTAGCTACGCATTCGTGCTTGGCAAGAAAATGCTCTATTCTTTTCAAAGTAAAGATGATGTGATACCAAAGCCAATATGAACATTTGTACCTTCTTGTCATCAAGAAAGAGCCCCCCGAAAGTGACAGCCGACGTTTCGCTGAGTCTCCTTTGAGAAGCAAAACCGCTTATCAGCACCTTGAAACTCTTAGCGATGGAAATTCAAGATTTCCCGCATCTTCTGTCTTGTGAAGTTTATACCCGTCAAATATTTGCATGTATTGTACCTATAGAGTAACTTTTGGACCTAGTTTGCTAGTTATCGAGCTCGTAAATCGTCATTTGCAGCTCATTTGACATCTTGGTGTATCGTGCTGTGACAGTTAGCGTAGAGCAAAATCACAACAAGGATACCCTCCTGTTCTTCCACTCTGTAACGATGCGACTCTATA